AGATGCTTTCTGAATAAAAAGCATCTAAGCTAAGACCTCAACAGTGGAACCGGGGACACAATTTGGGATGGAATTTAAAGGCATGCTCATAAAACCCTATAATGTCTGTGTTATCATCGTCCACAATTTATGTGTCAAGGAATCAAGGATCTGAGAGATGAGGTCATGTGCCCAGTGGCATGGTTTAAGCCAATGTGATCAATACTAAGACTAGGCTTTCTTTCTTACCTTCCCTTGCTTGGGGAATCTATACTTGCATTCTGAATACTAAAAAGCATCTAGGGGCCAGGCATGGTGGCTCACACCTATAATCCAGCATTTGGAAGGCTGAGGCGGGTGGATCACTTGAGGTCAGAAGTTCGAGAACAGCCTGGCCAACATGGTGAAAGCCCGTCTCTACTAAAAATACAAAAATTAGCCAGGCATGGTGGCAGGTGCCTCTAGTCCCAGCTACTTGGGAGACTGAGGCGGGAGAATCACTTGAATCGGGGAGATGGAGGTTGCAGTGAGCCGAGATCGCGCCATTACGCTCCAGCCTGGGCAACAGACTGAGACTCCATCTCAAAAAAAAAAAAAAAAAAAGCACAGAGAAAGGCTAGCTGGAGGAGGGGCAGTGAGAGCATAAGGGATGGGGATGACCCAGCAGATTCTGGGCAGGGAAGTGACTTACTGAAGGTTCCTGAGCAAGGGAGTCACAGAATGAAGGCATTGCTTTCAAAATTATAATAGTAATTCCTTGCTTGCATGTAACATCTAGATCAATGTTTCTGATCATTCCACATATATTATCTCACTTGATTCTCACAACCACCCACCAAGGGAGAAAGTTATCATTTCATTTTATAGCTGAGGAAATGGACGGCAGAAGTTAAGTGACTTGCCTAAGGTCACGCATGTCAGGGAAGGAGTTGAGACTGGAACGCAGTCCATCCATCTATGCAAAGGGGAATGCAGTACCATGAGAAGGGCACAGATTTGGAAACCAGACAGGTCTTCATTTTAGTGCCACTCCTGCTGGTGACTAATAAGCCTGGGACAGGTTATTTAACCTCTCTGAGTCTGTTTTCTAATTTTCAAATCAGTGATGATGAATCTTAGAGAGATGCAGGTTTGTTGTGAGGTGTAAAGACTGGTGGCTCCTGGCACAGAAAAGAATCCTACAAATATTAGTTTTCTTCCTCTTGTTCCACTGCTCCCCACTCAGGTCCTGAACAAACTAAGGGATTGGCCCAACATCCCCCTACCTCCCAATGGTGCCGATGAAGCTCTGGGGCAAGTGGTTCACCCTCACAACTAAGCAGCACTGATCTGGCTTTTGCAAAACCACAGCCCCATCCCAGGTATACAAGGGCTGTGCTGGTGGGCCGACACTCAGCCACCCAGCACATCCCCATCTGAGAACAGGCTGCCGTGGGAGAGAACACTGAGTTGTGGAGAGATGGATGATTTGTGAAGCCGCACAGCACACTCCACCCTTTGTTGATAGAGCAGGCCTGGCTGGCCGGGCGTGGTGGCTCACGCCTATAACCCCAGCACTTTGGGAGGCCGAGGCGGGCGGATCATGAGGTTTTTTTGTTTTTAAACAAACAAAATAGAATTTAATAAAACAGCCCACACACAAATACTTGTTAGAAATCTCACCCTTGACTTATGGCTTGGAATAAAACAATTTCTTATCCTGGCAATGCTCTTTATTCTTTTGAAGACATTTTCATATACATTATTTCACTTGATCCTCAGAACGCCAAAAGGGAGACAGTGCAGGCTTAACCGTTCCCTTTGAACAGATGAAAACTCCATGGCCTAGCAGCTGGAGTGAGGGGGACCCCGAGCTCCCAGCCTCCTGCCCATGGTTCTCTCCCTCTGCTGGAGGCTCAGTTCAGAGTCCGGAGTCCATTCATTGGCAAGCTCAGCTCTAACACCTGAAATCCTCCCCATCCCTCTCAGCTACGGAAACATCAGAGATGCCTACGTGGGATGGAGATGGCAGTTTTAAAAAGAGACAGTTAACCCTGGGCACATCCTGCAGGTGTGCTAAACTCCCAAGTCAGAACAAACAGGGGTCCCTAAGCCCTCACCTGCCCAGGAGCCCTTCCTTCCTGCTCCAATCTCCCATTCCAATCCTCTCTTAACTTGGGACAGTCCGAGACACAGAAGACCCATTTGGAGTCAGATCCCCTGAGGTCCTTGGTAGGTCTAGACATAACTTCAGCTCGAGGATTTAGGCAAGTCAGTTCACTCCGAGAACCTAACTCAGAGATCCCACAGGAAGACCAGGCTGCTAACCCAGGCCACGGATTGACTCCTAGGTACAGCAGACCTGCTCCACCCAGCAGTATGGAGGGGCCAAGGACAAAACAGCAAGCAAATATTTAGCAGCAACCACTAAGTGCTCCAGGCACTTAGAGTACATCCATGAACTGGCCTGACCAAGTCCCCTGCCTTCATTTGGCTTATGCTTTAGTGAGGCGAGACAGAAAACAAAGACCAAGTACATTAAAAGGTCCACAGATGATGAGTGCTGCGTGAGAAAAGAGGCACAGGGTAGTGGAGCTGGAGTGTGCTGGGGGAAGGTGGGGAGCTGTGCAGGTTACTATTTTAAATAGGATTGTCAAAACTTTCATTGAGAGGTTGACATTTGAGCAAAAATTTGAAGGAATGAGGGAGTTGGCATATGGATATCTGGAGGAAAGGCATTCCAAGCAGAGAGCCAGCCAGAGCAAAAGCCCTAAGGAACAGGGAGGAGGTCACTATGGCTGGAACAGAGGACTCAAGGGGGAAAGTTGCAGGAGATGAAGTCAGAGAGGGAACAGATACCAGGTCGTGAGGTCACAGGGGATCCTGTAGAACATTGTAAGGACCTTAGCTTTTACTCTGAGTGAAATGGGGACATATGCAAGTCTCAAACAGAGGACTAAGATGATCTAAGTTTTAGTAGGTTCAGTTGGCTGCCCTCTTGTGAACAGGCTGTAAAGTAGGGTCAAGGGTAAAAGCAAAGAGACCAGCCAACAGGCTGCTGCAGTGTTCCAGGTGTGGGGACCATAGTGTCTGAACTCAGGGGCAGCAATGTGGTGGCGAGGAGTGGTCAGTTCTGGCCATATTATAAAAGGAGAGCCAATGGGATTTCCTGAAAGGTGGGCTGTGAGAGAGCGAAGGGAGAGGGGGACAAGGAAAGAGGATCCAAGTCAGCTCTGAGGAACTGGGCCTGAGCAACTGAAAAATGGAGATGCCGTCCACTGAATGGGGAAGGCTAGAGGGAGCAGGTGGGTGCAGAAAATCAGGAGTTCAGGTTAGATGTGTTGAGCTTAAGATGGCAGGTGATGGCTAAGTGGACCACCTGTTGAGGTGGCAGCCACTGAAGCCAGTTGCCATATGCTTGCTGATAACTGCCAGGCCAGAAAGGCAGTGCCTGTCTCCACTGCCCAGTCCCCAGAGTGGACAGCGCATGAGGGAGGCTTGCTTCCCCACCTCATTTTGTGATCACTGGGAACCCAGCCATGCAGGCCTCAGTCCCTGGCCCACTCTCTATCCCCACGGTGGCTCTGAGGGCTCTCTGGCTGATGGAAGCATTACAGAACAAGTCTAAAGATGTCTAGGAAACTCCAAGGGTGGGCCAAGTTCTTAAGCTCCTTGGATCGAATCCCCATCCAGGGAAGCCTGCTCCAGGCCTTATGACAATAAAAACTTCAGACTCAGCCAACACTAACTGAGTACCTACTGCATGCCAGGCACCCTGTGGGGGCACTTTCACTTGTATCTTCCATTCGATTCTCATCACAACTATAGATATTTTTATCCCCTTCTGAAGACGAGGCAACTAAGACTCAGAAAGATTCAAACTTGCCCAATGTCACAGAAACAGTAAGAAGAGAGACTAATAGTTGAACCAGTCTTTTGATTCCAACCCCGCTGGTGTTACCCCACATACTCCTTTATAATTACTCATGCTTCAAGGTCCAGCTCATGCCATACCTGCTCAGTGGAATCTCTATCCATCCCCAGGTCAAATCTTCCCTGTTGCTTCATGCTGTGTATGCCTCTTCCATGGAACCCCTGACTTTGCTGGAACTGTTGTGACCTCTGTGTGTGTTCCTTCCCACTGGGTTACAGCTTTCTTGAGAACAGAAGCCACATCTTGTTATCATTACTCTGATACTCTCTCATAATCTTCCTGCCGCATAAATCAGTGTATTTAATATGTTTATTAGAGCTATGATATTCAACACTTTTTGCATGTTCACATAGAACATTATATTTGGGTCTCACCCAGTTTGATAAGTATGAGCCACATGGGTTCCATTAGCCTCACTTATGGTTGAGAATATATACACTCAGACTGGAGAATTTGTCAAAGGCCATACAGCTAGATGGTGTGTTGGGAACAACATTCCAAGCTGTAACACCCAATGCAGTGCCCATTGCATGGTTGGATCAAGTTCTTGATGTACTGCTTGTATCCAGTCCCTTTCCATTGAAGCCTGCTCCAAGCCTTATGGCAGTAAAAATTTCAGACTCCTCCAGTACTAATTGAGTACCTACTACATGCCAGGCGCTCTGTGGGGACACTTGCCTAAAGCCCCCTAATGCCTTTTGGCAGATCCTAAGCATTGGCTGGAGCCTTCAAGGTGTGTCATCTCCTCCTTTTTCTATTTCCTTGGCTTCTCTTCCTTTGTCTCCTCATTACCATATTCCCCTCTTCATCTCTGGCTTTCACCATGATGTCCTTTTCCTGCCCAGAGCTCCTAACCCTGGGCAAGGGGAGGTAAGCTCTGACCCGGAGAGTGGCTCCGGGGAGACAGGCCCCTGTAACACATCTGGAATACGGGGTCAGAGTTGAGGCTTCTGGTTTTGTTGGTGGTGGTGTTGAATTTTTTCCCTAGGATAGAGATCCTGAAGAGGCTTCTTGTTTTAATCACCTTGCATTCACCTTGTTGGTGTGAAGGGAATCCCCACCCTAGGTCATGGGATGGCAGAACAAATGACACCTGGCACTGAACAGATGAGATAGACAGTTTATTAGTCACATATGCTCACTGCCCAGGAAAGGAAGGTACCATATGCTCCGCAGGACCACCCGGGAGTTGCACTAGGGAACAAGCAGGGGCTTTGTAGTATCGAGAGGGTGGGGTGCTTCTCAGTTCCCACAGGAGGAGGTGATTGGCTTGTTTGAAAAACTCCACAGACTGCCAGGGAACTGAAAACGGCTACTCAGGGGTAAGCAGAAACTGTGCCTGGTCCCTTTGAAAAGGAGAGTTGTTTGACCAGAAGATGTTAGCTGCAGGAGTGGAGTAGAGAGGAGACCTTGCAGTTAGGTCATTTGAAGCCTTCCCAGTTGCACTAGATATCAAGGCAGCACATAATATGAGGCCTTACCAAGCTATCTTACCTTCACCAAGCTATCTTTATTTTTTAATACATTTGTATTTTGGAATTATTTTTAACTTACAAAAAATTACAAACATAGTTCAGAAAGTTCCTGTATATACTTTGCTCAATTTCCCCTAATGCTAACATCTTATATAACCATGGCACCTTTATCACAACTGGAAATTAGCATTGATATAATACTACTATCAAATTACCAACATTATTTGGATTTTACATGTTTTCCCACTGATGTTCTTTCTCTTTTCCAGGAATTGCCTAGGGTACCACATTGCATTTAGTCATCTTGTTTCCTTAGTTTCTGCTGGTCTGGGATAGTCTTTAAGTCTTTGTTTTTTATGACCTTGATACTTTTGAGGAGTACTGGTCAGATATTTTGTAGAATATCTCCCAATGTGAGTCTGTTGGATGGATCTGCATACTTAGACTGAGGTTATGGGTTTTTAAAAATAATACCACAGAGGTGTGATGCTTCTCATCATCATAGCAGGGGTGTATGACATCATTAGTGATGTTAATCCCATTGCTTGTTTAAGATGATGTCTCCCAGAGCACTCCATAAAGCTACTATTTGTCCCTTTTGGTATTTTCCTCTTTGAAAATGAATCACTAAGTCCAGCCTACACTTGGGGAAGAGGATTTAAGCTTCATTTTCTGAAGGAGGAATGGTCTACATATATTATTGAAAACTCTTCTATAAAAATAGTTGTCCCTTCCTCCCTTGTTTATTTATTTATCATTTATTTATTATTCAATCACTTATTTAAGCCTGCATGGACTAGTGAAGGTGTAACATATATATATAGTTGTTGTTGTTATAATATAAGCCTTTATTTATACTTTATAATACAATCATTTATTTTATTGCTTAAATTCTTCCAGCTCTGGGTGGGAATGTAAATTAGTACAACTACTATGGAATACAGTATGGAGATTCCTTGAAGAACTAAAAGTAGAATTACCATTCAATTAAGCAATCCTGCTTTGGGTATCAACCCAAAGGAAAATAAGTCATTATGTGAAAAAGACACATACACATGCATGTTTAAAGCAGCACAATTCACGATTGCAAAGATATGGAACCAACGTAAGTACCCATCAACCAATGAATGAATAAAGAATATGTGGTATGTATACACCAAGGAATACTACTCAGCCATAAAAAGGAATGAAGTAGTGTCTTTTGCAGCAACTACTCTAAGTGAAGTAACTCAAGAATGAGAAACCAAATTTCGTATGTCCTCACTTACAAGTGGGAGCTAAGCTATGAGGATGCAAAGGCCTAAGAATTATATAATGGATTTTGGGGACTTGTGGGGGAAGGTAGAGGGGGTGAGGAACAGTGTACACACTGCTTGGGTGACAAGTGCACTAACATCTAAGAAATCACCACTAAAGAACTTATCCATGTAACTAAAAACCACCTGTACCTCTAAAACTACTGAAATAACATTAATTTTTAAAAAATTCTTCCAGCTCTGGCCATTGGTAATTCCTCCAGGTTGGCTTCTGTGTCCTTTTGATATACCTTAATTTTTTGTTTCCTTAGAACTTCTTTGCTTTCCTTAGGGGTTCTAAAACTATAAGATCCTCCAGGTTTATCTTGTATTTTTTCCTGCTCCCCCTAAAATCTGCCATTTCTCCAAAGGACCCTAAGTTTCTTTTATCAGAGAACAATAATTAGAAACCAAAATCTGGCTTCTGGGCATGCTCATTGCTACTGGGGTATCCTGCATTTAGGACCTCTCAGCAGACAGAAGTAGGAAATACATTCATGTGTACTAACCTACATATACACATATCCTTTTGTTTGTTTGTTTGTTTGTTTGTTTGAGACAGTGTCTTGCTCTGTCGCCAGGCTGGAGTACAGTGGTGCAATCTCGGCTCACTGCAACCTCCACCTCCTGGGTTCAAGCGATTCTCCTGCCTCAGCCTCCCAAGTAGCTGGGACTACAGGCATCTGCCACCATGCCTGGCTATTTTTTGTATTTTTAGTAGAGACAAGGTTTTTCCATGTTGGCCAGGATGGTCTCAATCTCCTGACCCCATGATCCGCCCGCCTCAGCCATCCCAAAGTGCTGGGATTACACGCATAAGCCACCATGCCCAGCCCATATACACATATCTATATGTCCTATTTCTATCTGCCTACATACACTAAAATCAGTATGAGTTTATACTGATACCTCTGACTCTGATTCAACAGCACAGGATTGAGTCTAGCTTTCCCATCTTGTTTATTTGTAAATTGTTACCAGTCTACCATTTCTGTTTGCCTTTATTCTCCTTAATCTTCTACTAGTGTTCATTTTAACTTGATTTCAGCTGTAAAAATCCTTTAGGGTTGGGCAGTGTTTCTTAAACTTGAGTGAACATCAGAATCCCCAGAGGGCTGGTTAAAATGAGGATTGCTGGGCCCAACCTCAGAATTTCGGATTCAATAGGTCTAGGCTGGAGCCAAGTAATTTGCATTTCTAACATGTTTCCAGGTGATGCTGCTGGTCTGGAGATCTCACTTGGAGAACCTCTGATCTACAGAAACTCTGGACTAAGAGGCAAACCCCTCCTCAGTACTCTCATAGTCCTTTGTACATATTTCTAATATCTCAGTCTATAAGAATGATTCGGTTGCATTTCTACTCCCCAGTAGACTATGAGCTCCTTGCAGGCCAGGATTGTGACTTTCTCATTTCTAGTGCCTGAACCTGGCAAAATGTATGGCACACAGTAGGTTCATATTAAATATTTGTTGAATGAATAAGTACAAGTTTCACACGTGTGCCCCATCTTTATTTCTTATTTCTGCTAAGTGGAAAGGAGTGCAGGAAAGGTCAGAGATGAAAAACTGAGATCCATTAGATCTCCTTATTGCCCTCCTCTTCCTCTGATGGCAGGGAAAGGAGAGAAAGAGAGCAAACAAAATTAGGATGGGGTCAGAGCCCACTGCCCCTACCTGTTTAAGGAAGCTTGCAGGCATTAACTTCAATGAAACTTCAGGGACTTTAATACCAGAGAAGGTATCTAAGAGCATATTTCTAACTTTGAAGCCACAAGAAGGAAATAAATATATATACATATATATTTATATATATATTTATTTATATATTTATATATATATTTTAAGGTTCATATGGATGATTTTTATTACATATCAGAATTAACCTATTCTTTCCGTAGAAATGAAAGTGAGAGTCAATGGGTAACTATATTATATACCAGTTTGTTTTTGTCACAATTTTTTTAATTATAGTAAGTCCTGGAATACACGTGCAGAACGTGCAGGTTTGTTATATAGGTATACACGTGCCACGGTGGTTTGCTGCACCCATCAACTCATCATCTACATTAGGTATTTCTCCTAATACTATCGCTCCCCTAGCCCCCCACCCCCCAACAGGCCCCAGTGTGTTTTGTTCCCCTCCCTGTGTCCATGTGTCCTCATTGTTCAACTCCCACTTAGGAGTGAGAACATGTGATATTTGGTTTTCTGTTCCTGTGTTAGTTTGCTGAGAGTGATGGTTTCCAGCTTCATCCATGTCCCTGCAAAGGACGTGCACTCATCCTTTTTATGACTGCACAGTATTAAATGGTGTACATGTGCCACAACAAATAAACATGATAAAATCATATCTAGTTAATATGGTGGTACATTTTACCTAAGCATTTATGTCTATAAAATGAATTTATGTGATTATCTGCTTTACATTTTAGTATCAAAAGAAGTTATATATATATTTTAAAATAAGCTATACCTATGACTAAGCCTAGTGTCTGAAATGGTATCACCAGAGTAACTGGTAACACTCCAGGTTTACATACCTCAGGGGACACTCCAGGTTTAAATACCTCAGGGGACTCCTCAAGTTTCTTTAAAGCTAACTACAAGCCTGTACCTCTCGGAGAATAATATTTTCCTTAAAAGTTTCATTGCTTTCTTCAAAAAGTGTTTGAGCATGTCTATGTGTAAAGCATTGGCCATGGAGGATACAGTACGATCCCTGTTCATGAGAAGCTAACATTCTAGATATTAGATAATACTCTAGATTCAACAAGGAAAGTAATCACCTTAAGAAAGAAATGCAGGCCAGTGCAATGGTCCACACCTGTAATTCCAGCACTTTGGGAGGCCATGGAGGGTGGATTGCTTGAGCCCTGGAGTTTGAGACCAGCCTGGGCAACATGATGAAAAGCTGTTCCTACTAAAAATACAAAAAGTTAGCCAGGTGTGGTGGCACAATCCTGTAATCCTAGCTACTCAGGAGCCTGAGGCAGAAGAATCACTTGAACTGGGAAGGCAGATGTTGCAGTGAGCTGGGATCCCTCCAACTGCATTCCAGCCTGGGCGACAGAGTGAGAAGAAAGAAAGGAAAGGAAGGAAGAAGGAAGGAAGGAAGGAAGGAAGGAAGGAAGGAAGGAAGGAAGGAAGGAAGGAAGGAAGGAAGGAAGGAGGAAGGGAGGGAGGAAGGGAGGGAGGGAGGCAGGGAGGAAGAAAGAGAGAAAGGACAGAAGGAGAGAAAGAGAGAGAGGGGGGGAGGAAGGAAGGAAAGAAGGAAGGAAGGAAAGAATAGAGAGAGGAGGGAGGGAGGGAGGGAGAGAGGAGGGAGGGAGGGAGGGAGGAAGGAAGGAAGGAAGGAAGGAAGGAAGGAAGGAAGGAAGGAAGGAAGGAAAGAAAGAAGGAAGGGACAATACTCCGAGTATATGAAAGAGGACTATAATGTAACTGTTACTTTGATAAATATCAATGTTAGGAGAGGTCCAACATTGACTGACAAAGACCTAATGTCTCCAGATACCTGTGTTAAGTCCTAGGAAGAACGGGGAGGGGAAGTAAGGGAGGAGAAAGGAAGTGACTTGGGGAATGAATGATAAAAGAGAGAAGAGAGTTTGGACCCAAGATGCCTCTGGCTATGGTTATTTCTTGTGTTCCAAACAACTGGCTGTGTGTTTGGAGTTCTGGATGACTCACCATGTAGGAGGAGTGCTGGTGGAAGAAAGGAGAAAACCGCAGAGGAGGGAAACCCCATTCAGCATCCTTGGGGTGTGGCTGTGGCACTCTGTCTCAAGGCCCCACACAGGCCAGCTAACAGCTTGGGCTTCAGTGCTTGGAAGCCATTTAGGGGTGATTTTAAGAATCTTCCAGAAACCCAGGGGCTTACCCACAAGGAAAGGGACTTTATTCAGTTTCCTTGCTTATAAACCTAAGCAACCATGGGTGAAGAATCCCTGCAAAGAAAGAAGAAATATATACTTGTCAAAAAGGAGATGTTCACTTGAGTCTTCCTACCAGGAAAAGAAGAGGAAGTGGGAGGAAGGAAGAAGACTAGCCTTGAGCATAGAATTTCATACATTACAAACGGGGCCACACTGTAAAACCCACACAGCCCTGTGATTTAAGCTCCTCCTGTAGTCTCAGTGAGTTTCTGGGTTTTATGGACTGAACTGTATCCCCCTGCCTAAATTCCCATATTGAATCTTAACCCCCAGTACCTTGGAATGTGACTATAGAGATAGGGCCTTTAAAGAGGTGATGAAGCTCAAATGAGGCTGTTGGGGTGGGCCCTAATCCAATGTGACTGGTGTCCTTATAAAAAGAAGAGATGAGCACACACAAAGAGGCACCAGAAACAAGAGTGCACAGAGAGAGGACCCCATGCAGAGGCAACAAGAGGGCTGCCATCTATAAGCCAAGCAGAGAGGCCACAGAGGAAACCAACTCTGCTGGCACCTCGAGCTTGGACTCCCAGCCTCCAGAACTGTGAGGAAATTGATTTCTCTTGTTTAAGCTGCCCATTGTGATACTTTATTATGGCAACCCTAGCAGACAAAACACTGGGGAAAGAGCCCCATACAATTTGAATGTGGTGTCCCAAGAGGGCCTCAACATATGCCCGCTAAATCACTGCTGTTTCGTTCCTACATCACAACCTGACCTCAGACCATTACTACAAGACACTAACATTTGAGTTTTCCCACCTGCCAGACACTATAGTAGGCTGCTTTCTCACATATTAGCTCATTTAATTGTTAATGCAAACCTGAGGCTCAAAAGAGGTTAAGTAGTTTCCCCAAGTGTATTAATCCATTCTCACAGTGCTATAAAGAACGATTTGAGATTGGGTATAAAGAAAAGAGGTTTAATTGATTCACAGTTCTGTAGGCTGTACAGGAAATGTGGCTGGGAGGCCTCAGGAAACTTAATCATGGTGGTAAGCGAACAAGAAGCAAGCATGTCTTACCATGGCAGAGCAGGAAAGAGAGAAAAAGGGGAGGTGCTACACACTTTCAAACAACAAGATCTTGTAAGAACTCAATCCCAGCACTTTGGGAGGCTGAGGTTGGCGGATCACAAACTCAAGAGATCAAGACCATCCTGGCCAAGATGGTGAAACCCCATTTCTACTAAAAATACAAAAAAATTAGCTGGGCGTGGTGGCATGCTCATGTAGTCTCAGCTACTCGGGAGGCTGAGGGAGGAGAATTGCTTGAACCCGGGAGGCAGAGGTTGCAGTGAGCTGAGATCAAGCCACTGCACCCCAGCCTGGTGACAGAGCGAGACTCTATCTCAAAAAAAAAAAAGAAAGAAAGAAAGAAAAAAGAACTATATCACAAGACAGCACTAGGGGGATGGTGCTAAACCATTAGAAACCACCCCCATGATCCAATCACCTCCCACCAGGCCAATTCAACATGAGATTTGTGTGGGGACAAACAGCCAAATCATGTCACCAAGATCACCAAGGTAGAGCATGCAGGACCAGGGGTAGAAACCCAGGCCCTCTGGTTCCAGGTCTGTGGTTCCTCCACCACACCAGGCCAGGGGTCTCCATGGGAGTTGTTAAAGACCAGAGATGTTAAGGACCGCATGCCAATCTCACTTTCGAAACTCAGCTCAGTCCTCCCAGCAACATAGTCACTGGGGTTTGTAAGTCCTGTGACATAGAGAGGAAAAATATGTATTCAGTCCTGATTCTATCTTTACTGGACGTTTCAAGTCCAATTCTTAACTGACCACCAACACTACTTAGTAGCTAGTTATGAGGCATATATAACTCCAAAGATATTATTAAGGAATCACATAAGAAAGTATTATTGCTTTCTGGATAATAGGCCACTTTGTTCTATTCAGCTCAGTTTGCTGAGGACAACTCTATCTGGAGCTCCTTGTCAATATCTATTTTTAATGGGATATATTTATAATTGGATGTATTTATAACCTCCTTTTCATGGGCACTTGTTTTCTTTCCAGAATCACACAGGCATTTTAATAGATTGGCTATGGCAGTAGAGAAGTGACTAGAAACAGTTTGGGCCTGATTGTCTGTGAAACCTGAGAATCCTCACTCCTCCAATGCTGGTGCCTGCGACACTTTGGGAAGACAGCAACTTCACCACTGCGCGCTGGTTCTGATTTCTATAAAAGACATACATCTTTCCTGGAAGGGACAGAGGACATCAGGGTGATTAAAAGTTTTAGTACATACTGAGAGGAGACTTCAATGGAAATTCCTATGATTTAATTCAGTTTGGCAAACATTTATTGTCCATCTATTGCATGCTAAGCACAGATTCATTGACTGAGGTATGTTAATTTTAGCAAAATTATTGAACATAAGCAGCAGAGCTGGAAGAAATCTTCAGAGATCATGTAGTCCGATACTGTCACTTTAGAAATGAAGAGCATGAAGTCCAGACAGGGGAAGTGGCTTGTCCAAGGTCAAACCATTGGTTCCTGGCAGGCAAGGAGGAAGAATCTTTCTGAATCCTAGCCCAGCAGTTCCAATATACTCTGCGGCAGTCAGACCCTTATCAGAGTATCATGTCCAACTTAGTTCACCACATTGTGAAAACCATGCACACATCCGGAAGAGATCCATAAAAAAATAACCAAAATTGCCACAGGATGGAAAATAGATTTTGTAATTAAGTAGCAAAGATTCCAGCTGGATATGAGGAAGCACTTTTTGGCTACCAGGGTTATGAAATATCAAAATGAGCAAATCAAAGCACATCCAGAAATTTTCAAAGGACAAAAGATAAGCATCTATTTTTGATTGTTGGAGGGTCACCTGCCCCCAGACAGGGCACTGGAACAAATAATCTCTCAATTTTACCCAGCTCTATTAGAATTCATTTATGATTCTATGTGCCTTCTATAAGGTTTTTGCCAAACTGCTGTTACTGCATCATCGATCTTATCATTTGTTGAAATTTCCTCTTAAAACCATTTCTTTGCCCTTTTGTTTTTTTTGTTTGTTTGTTTGTTTCTTTTTATTTTTTTGCTTATTTCAAAACGCCTTTGCAATTGCCTGAAGCAGAATCTGGGATGTATGAATTGTAAGATTTGGGGATTTTAAAAAAAAATTTCCAGAAGTGACTTGCTAAGAGATTAGACCCCTGACAGTAACCACAGGTCTAGGCCAGCAAAAGGTCAAGTCCAGAGTGAAGCTGGCTGACAGATACCATAGATCTAGACAGGCAGGGGCCTGGAGATCAAAGCAGCATTATCAGCCACAGCAGAACTCTGACCTTAGAGCAGAATGGCCATTTGCTTTCAATACTTTTTACGTAATCTCCTAAATATAGGTCACTTGAAGTTTAAGAGACACGTCAGAAGCAGAATGGTGTCAGAGGCTTGACAATCGTAGGGTTAGAGATGCTAGGACTACCTCACAATAGGTCATCGCTGGTCATCTCCCCTTGCCTGCGTGGCCACATTAACACCCCCATAGTTGTCCTGAGTACATCCAGAAAGAAAGTTTGAAGCATTTAAGGGGCATCCAACACAATAATGAGATATCCTTCTACATATCGGAAACGAGATAATGCTAAACCCCCACGTTATAAAGGGATCGGTCTCTACTCCTTTGTAATGTCTTTGAAGATATCTCTTTAAAAGGCAACTCTGCAATGCCCCTAAATAAATGCCAGCAACACTTCCGTCCCTCACTCAGACCCTCTTCAGTCCCTCTTCCCTACTCCTTCTGGGACCCATCTCACTCAGTCTCTGTGTCTCACTGAGGTTGAACAACAACCAAATACATATTACTAGAGAATCGGTCTCCCAAGGTATTGTTTCTCCCTCACAAAAACTACAATAGGCCAACTAGCCTGCCCCTTGAACCCGTAACTATTGCTCTGTTGAGAATGAATCTTCATAGCTGTCAAAT